GAGAATCTCCAAAGAGACAAACAGTCTCTTTGACAGTTGCCATGTCTTCTCTTCAAGAGGGAAATATGTGCACCACTGATCTGGCAAGGCGGAAGATCTGTTGTGCAGTCCTGTGCAAAATTCTTGCTGGGACAATCTGACCTTCTAAGTAATTCCTTGCCATAATGTGTGGCCCTTTTAAAGCAAGTTGCACCTTTTATGATCAAAGCACACCTGAACAACAGCACTTAACAGCACCATGCTCATGTGCATGGAAACTTTGCTTTGAATTTTTCACAGATAGCAGAACAAAGAATTCGTGGGATTGTCCTTTTTTATTCAAAGGATGGATGTAAAAAAATTCCCTGTCCTTGGAAAAAAAAAGATATTGAATCAAAAATCCTATCTATCTAAACCTCTCCTGCACTAATGCTTTTTAAAAAGCAGTCCTACTGGCCTCTTTATATATATGTAGAAAGAAAAAGCACATATATGACATTACATTAAAATGACACTCCCCGCCTTCTATTCTACAAAAAAAAAAGGTTGAAAAATGAAACGGAATTGCAAAGCGAATTCGTTCATTTTTTTAAACAAATTAAAGGGTTCCAACTGTGGTCGTCTGATTTAAAGAAACAGTTTATTATTTAATCTTATCTGATTACAAAAGGGCCCCAGTCCAGAAGCTCGTAGATCAGTGGTTTTCAACCTTGGCAAATTTAAAATGTGTGGACTTAAACTCCCAGAATTCTCCAGCCGGTAGGAAGAAAGAGTGGTCCTGCCCAATAACAACTTAGAATTGCACTCCAGCCCTTTCTAAGCTGAATCTAATCTAATTGTGGAATAGAAATATGGAAGAGGTCTGGAAATCTACATGGCTACATTTGGGCCCCTGAATTGTTCAGTTTGAAACTTGGGATCTCCTCTGATATTTCAGCTATTTGAAGAGCATTCCCACGAAGCCCATTATTTAATGTAAGTATGGCGTTAGAACATCTTATTTCAATTGCAGAATCTGTGTTCTTATGATGCTGAGATTAGCTACATGCAAATTCAAATTATAATTCTCTCCACTTATTGAAATACTATCTCTTGGCCAACTCTTGGTAAATTGTGAACTGATCTCTTCCATCCTGCAAATAAACTCAGTGCAGCTTATGAAAATTGAGGTGTGGGAGAGAAATTATGAAGTAATTCCATTTAGATTTTGCCCAGAGAATGTAGCAGAACAAATGAACAAATGTGTAAGGGCTTTATTATGTCCTATCTAGAGCCAAAGCTCCAACTTCTGCCTTCCCTATACCTAGAGAAGTTTACTGGACTGTCTAACTCTACAACATCCATCTCCAGATGTTGTTCAGATGCTACATAGACAGATATGCACAATACCTGGAACTGTAGTCTGGCAACATCTGGAAGGCCACAGGTTCTCTGACCCTACTTTCTAGAGCAGGGGTCCCCAAACTTGGCAACTATAAGATTTGTGGACTTCAACTCCCAGTTGGTCCATGGGCTGCCAGAATTAAAATCTAATTGTGTTAGATTTTAATGCTTAAAAGTTGATTCTTTCTCACATGCTTCCCTCCTCCCCTCCCCTTTTTCATACTTCTAGTTTGGCACATTTGTGAGTTTAAGCAATACATCAAATTAAAAAACGAAGTAAAAATGGATGTCTATTCTGAGCATTCACAATGTAAAAACAATGTCACAACTACAACTTACTTAAGTATATAAATCTAACCGCTCTACTTGATCACACCAGATCATGCTAGTCTGAACTTGGAAATGCTTTGTAACTTGCCATTTTATTTCTAGGGAAAATCCCCAATTCTCAAAAGCCTTCAATGCCAAAAGAAGATCAGATGCCAAGTGAAATTTTGCTTCTGCTGTTGAATTTAGAACTGAGATATTTCACTAAGGAAAGGGGGAAAAAACAACAACTAAATAAGGTCTTAGATATATAAAATCTATTTGCCTGTTGGTGAGATTTTGTCATATCAAAAGGAAATTTTTAGCAGAAAAGACATTACTGCTTCTGAATTTGGAACACCAGATTCTATTTAAAAGGTTAAAAGGAAAAACCCCGCCATCTCCTTCTGAAAGAAAAATTAAAGCTCTTAAAATCTAAAACACGAACCAGATCACATATAGTAACCTCCCCTGCTAAGACAGACCAAATGATCTGCACAACGGTAGGACAGTAGGCCCCTCCTGAAGGCATCTCAGGAGGAAGGGCAAGGTTGAATGGAAGGTTGAACTTCCGCCACTTGCCCTTCCTCCTGACATCCCTTCTTATCTAGTTTCAAAGAGGACAGAATATGATTGAGGCTGCAGATCAAAGAGAGAGAGAGATAGAAGGAAAGACATCAGTCCTTGCTTCTACTTCCCTTTTCTCTCCAGCATTTGGCCTGCTTGCTCTAATGTTGGGAGACACCAGTCTTCACCAGTTTTTCCTCCACTTTCATCATGACTCTCGTTCAAAGCCAGAGAACCACTCAAAGCTATACATGCTACTGACCTTCCTAAGGGTGCTCAAAGCTCTTCCCTCTGGTTCAGTGTGACTCTGGACACAGCACGCGCTACAGCAAAACAACTGGCACAACTCTCCCACAGGAAATTCCTGTGCTATCTCCACCTACAAGGAAGGAGGACTGGAAGTTTGTCAAGCAGCAGCAAACTTAGCTTAGCTTGGTGTCTGGTTGGTGCCTGCACCAAGTCCCCATTCTTGTCCCAATTTAATTTAACGGCTGTCTCCATTCAACTCAATGTCTACCCAGGGAGGCAGAACTGCAGAAAATATAACAGCAGGAGGGAGATAATGTTTTGGGTGGGTGGGGAATACTAGATTTTTTTTAAAAAAGTTGGTTTTTATAATTTCTAGATTTCTTGAAGAGAAGTCATAACTGTGCAACGATGCAGCTGATAGAAATCCGTAGTGTACAGTAAATGTATCCCCCAGAGAATGCGGATATCAAAAATAGCTTATGGTTCAACATACAGAAGAAAACTCTGCACAGGAAAGTGAACACAATCATTTCAACATCTGAAAGCGGGGGGGGGGGGGGGGGGGAGAACAACACCCTATCACAAAGGATGGCAAGTAAAGTTTTGAAAAGTTCGACAAAATAACCTCAGTCTGGTCTATTTTTTTAAAAAAAACACGGAAAGTACTATTATAAAACAAGCCATTATGAAAATCTTTTTTTTTTTTTTTGGAACGATTCTATTTTGTTTTCTACAGCTCATTTAGAAAACCCATTTCGTTCATTTCCAAAGCGCAGAAAAACAAACTGGAGTCAGTCTTAAGCCAGGAAAGGTGGGTGAGGGAAGAATCTACATCAAAACAAGCCGAACCAAAGTTAGTCACAACTGACAATCGTGTTGCCAAAATGTTGGGTCAGTGCTTAAGATTTATTGGTAGATTTAAGTCCACTCAAAAAGGCAGTGGGCAAGTTGTCAACTCTGACATGACAGTCACAGTTGGGCCAAAAAGCAGCTTAGATTTCAATGGGACTTAACTATGACTAATATTCCCTGGAATAAGCCCATCACTGAAAAGTCACTGCTTCTGTGGGTCCGTATTCAGGCACTTTACTGAAACGCAACGTAACACACTTAAAGCTATTAAAAACACGGATAATTTGTGCTCTAAAACTGCAAAGAATGTGTGCTGGAGCACCACAGAGACGGGATCTTTTTTAAAAAAAAATTTTTTTTTGGCAATTCACATCTTTCCCTCAAAAAAGGCCAGCCGCCAATGGGCACCACCTCTTTGAAGTGACGGTGGCAAAATCGCTTCTTGGGAAACTCAATCTGGCGTCTCCATTGGAAGGAACCTCCGAGGCTCCACAGAAATGAATGGGGGTCTGTGCTCCGCCCCAGTTTTGTTTTAAGAGAGGCTTTGGCAATGTGGGAGTTGATGATTGTTCAAGGCAAGCAAGCCAAGGTTAGGAACAATGTTTGGGAAAGAACAAACCGCTGTTCCCCGGCCGTTCTGAACAGGACTTTTCAACAGGAAGTTTGTTAGGGGGGAGAAAAATAAAAACACCTTGCCTTTCTGCTCAAATATTGCACTTCCTTTGTTCACTCATGACAACACACAGAAACATGATTCATAGCTTTAAAATATAGATTATATATATATATGTATATATAAAAACCTGCTCTGACATGATCATGCAGGAGAATATGAGAGGAATCAAATTTCTTAAAAGTTTGAATGAACACCGCCGTAATTACTCTTCTATATATATATATATAAAAAAGAAAGAAAGAAAAAAGAAAACAGGAATGGAAGAAAGGTGTAACTTCACGAAAGCATTTTCTCTGCTTGTGGAAGGGGTGGGTGGCATCTCAAGAGAAAAGATCTCAAGCTGTATGAGGGAATTTTAACGCAGCCCTACCTGAGATTCTGGTGGAGCAAGTGCCCACCAGAACTCACAGTAACGGGCGAGAGACAGAACAACCATCTTTCACCCAACGGAAGGCAGCATAACGTAAAACTCTTAGGGACGCCACTACAGGTCAGTGAAAGAATCTATGCGAAGGGCCACAAGGTTGCGAAAACTGAAGAGGAGAAGGAACAGGCCTGGCCTCAACTCTCTGGCGATCGGGAGTTAACACAAACCCCAAACTTTCCTACCTGGACCAAACCGACTTAACTTGCGTAGGTCATTTTCTCCCTTTTGATCAGGCAGGTGTGTGTTGAACATGCACACGGTGCACTGCTTCCTGATTCACGCACCAGTTAAAAGTTACAAAGTGACTTGGTTTAAAAAAAGAAGAAGAAAAAATCCCCACATGCCAAGTTAAAACTGGGTTGCCAAGAACCTCCACGCACTGGGAGAAGCGACACAATCACAGGGCCAAAGAGGGCAGGCCGTCCCTCAACCTGTACAGTTGAAATGGATAAGGGGGAAGAACCACTGCAATTCAGGAAACTGTCTTCCAATGCTGTGTTGTCAGTAGCACGCTGCGGGGGTTTGCAGCAGTTGCTTTCACATTTTTTTTTTCTTAAAAAAAAAAGAAAAGAAAAAGGCAAACACAATAGTTGCGTTCATTCCACACGACCTCCAAACTACCGCCGAAGAATTAAACATTTCTTGGAGTTATGCAATAACAAGCTAACTGAGCGATTCAGCTTAAAAACATAGCGTACACCGAGGGAAAGGGACTGTTAATATTCCAGAAAGAGGCTAAAAAAAAAAGAGGGGAGAAGAGACGGACAAACCTTGTGCACGACGCCGTCTATAGGAGAGATCGGGTGCGATAGGTGGAACCTCAAAAGAGACGTTTTTAATTCTGAGTGCAAGGAAAAACAAAACACAGAGATAGCAAACCAGCTTAGGGGGGTTGTGAGCAATATTTCCAACAGGAAATCGCTTCAGGAGACGCGCTCCACAGTGTTACGTTTGCGATCGCTAGTAAAGTTAAGCATCAAGAAAGAGAGAGGCGGACAGAGAGAAGAGCGAGGGGTCATTGCACGGTAAACAGCTGCCAGACACACAGCTTCAGCTTTCAACACTACGGAATCCAATAGGCCTGATGCCTGCCCAAGAAGGGGAGCCTTTTACTGCTCGTCTTATTTGGAAGCTTGGCTCCGACGGCCGCGTTGGGCCCGTCAGGTCAAGTGACGGGTGATGGCACGAAAGGCGTAGAGCAGCTCAGCCTGCATGCGAGCCTCCATCAGAAGAAGATTCACGTGGACCTAAGGAAATAGTGAAGCAAATTGGTAAATGTCTGTGGAGGTTTCCAGTCTTCCGGGGCACAGTTTTCTCAAAGGTGCTTTTTCCAAAAACAACTGGACTGGTTGTTGGGGGGTGGGGTTGTTTTTGAGGAAGATGACGACGTTTCACTTCTCCTCCAAGATGCTTCATCAGTTGTGTTGGTTGTTGAGAGGGATGTAAAGAAGGCTTCCATCCCACCACCATCAGAACTGATGATGCTTCTTGGAGGAGAAGCGAAACGTCTTCTTTTTCTTCCTCAAAAAACCCCAGTCCAGTTGCCTTTGAAAAAACACCTTTCAGCATCATCTTCTTTTAATGACCCCATAATCCCTTGCCGGGTGGAGCCTAGGCAACTGATTAACTGGCCAGGTGCCCTTCCTGTTGCCAGTGTGGAGCTTTGTTCAGCAGATGTATTCTCACTGTGCCCAGAGAGAGAAATACCTGCCTCTGCCTAGGATCAAACTCACAGCCTCTTGGTTGTGAGGAGAGTGCTCCGCTTTTGGCCACCATACCACTCCTTTGAAAAAGCACCTTTGAGACAAACCAACTGGTAACACATGGATATAGGGAGCTGTTCATAGTGTTAAGAATTTTTCTCAAAGAGCTGCTTGATCTTTCAAGAGGCAAGGTTTAAACGGATGCGATTACTGCAACCTAGTCTACCTGGAGCTGCCCTTGAAGACCAGCTGGAAACTTCAGAGGGTCCAAAATGCCCGTTGACTTAGTGCTTGGTCCCAGTACAACCACATCACACCCTTTGTGATTGGTTTATATAATGTCACTTTACACCTTGGGTTGGATACCAATAGGTTTCCAAGGGCAATTCCAGATGCTGGTTGTGACCTATAATAAGGTGCGGGTTGTGACTTATTAAGGCCTCACGTGGCTCAGAACTTGAATGTCTTAGAGATAGCCTTTCCCCAACAGTTTCCACCCTATAAAATGAAGGAGCACCATCTGAGTGTCCCCAGATACCAGGAGGTGCAGTGTGAGAAAATCTGTTGATAAGCATTGTCCGTAGCAGCCCCCTACTCTGGAGTCCTGAAGTGGATGTGCTCCTCGCCCCATGGCCTTCCAAGAACCGGTGAAAACATGGAACTTCTAGGAGGCCTTTGGGGGGGACAATCGTGATACCACATCTTAGTTTTATAATGTTTCATTTTAGCCATAATTTATTTTTTATTGCTCTTATGTTTTTAATGTTTCATTTCTGTACGGTGCCTAGAATATAGATGGTTTCAGGATCGTGATACCACGTCTTAGTTTTATAATTTTTCATTTTAGCCATAATTATTTTTATTGCTCTCATGTTTTTAATGTTTCATTTCTATAGGCTGCTTAGAATCTAGACTGTTTCAGGCACTTGGATAAATTTTACAAATAGATAAAAATAAATGGACTAGTTCACAAGTGCCAGCTCAGTACTCTTCACTTGAAACATCACCTGGACTGTCACAGATGTTCCAGAATCCTTGTCATCGGCCACTGGTTTAAAACAAAATTTCCATCCAATCTCCTTCCTTTTAAACGTAAGACCATTCTACCTTCCAGTTTGGAAGAGGAAAGGGGTGACCATCACTCCTGAGTCATTGTGAAGAATATTAATGCAACGGGAGGGTATGTTTAGTGCTACCCATTTCAAAGGGTGGATACAAAAAGGATGTGTGTTAATGTGCTTGAGGGACTCACCTTTTCTGAGTGCTTGAACTGGCGCCAGTAGCTGTCGTACATGCGCTTGGTAGTTCTCTCTGGGTAGCAGGTCACTGTCTTAATGTAAATCTTCAGGTTCCGTTCAAGTAGTTGATTAACTTCGCCATAATCATAGTCATCATATCTAAATGAGATTAAGATTTTCTGAGCAGGTGATATTTTTTAAAAGCAATACTTTCCCCCTTTTTTGGGAGGTGGGGGGAGGGGTTTGAAAAAACCCTTCAAACTGTGCATCAGGATAAAAAAAATGGCTGATTGTCGATCTTGCTGTTCCAATATAATGTAGTTCAATTAACTTTGTCAAACTTTTAACCCGGAATGCCTTTGAAAAGAGCCAATTTTTATTAAAAAATCTTAGGGTCAAATTCACCCAGCGTATTTTGCTAAGATGGAGAGAGCATCATTAGGAATTGAAGTTACCATTTCGGCTGTGAATTGAAACCTCTTAGAATATATTTTTTTTCTTGGAAATAAACCATTTAAAATAATTTTATGGAATCTGATTCACAAGAATCCAGAGTTATTTAGTTAGCAAAATTTCAACCCACAATTCAGTCACAATCATCCATCTGAAAAGTTCCGTAAAGAATAATACAGAAGTGTGGTTGAAGAGATATTACAAACATATGATTGTATTTGTGTGTATATGACTGTATGTGTGCGTATATGAGTGTCCCTGAACAAACTGTGCGCCATAATTCATGCAGGTCAGAGTCACAAAAATTTAGTAGGCAAGAAGAAGAAAGTGGCTGCTCTTCTTCCATCTAAAATACATGTGAAGAGTGCTCAGCCTCCATCATGGGAGGTGTCAAAAAAAGTCAGGTTGGCCATCTCTTGAAGCCTTGCCACTTTTTGATGCGACTTAAAAAATAAATAAATAAATTTAAAAGATGGATGGACCCAGATGAATTTAGGGGATTCATGAGAAATTTAGTCCTAATAAAGAGGTTTAAACTTCATTATTAGGATATATTGATTGCAGCTGTAGCAGCACAGAAAAGATAAGCAAATTTCTATGTTCACACGGAGCAAAAGTATAGCTCGAGTATGATGAACTGCACTACTACTACAGAAAATGGGACAAGGAAGGCTGCTTGTATCATTGCTATGGAAATGTCACTCATTGTGTGCAAACCTAACTTTGCTGGGAGGGGAGGATTTTCCACTTGCTTAGAAACACGCAAGTGGCCAAATGGTGATCAGCTAATGTGGTTGCACCATTTCAAATGTCTGGTGTCACAATGACAACATGTACCCATAAAGGAGAATACTGGTAGCTCAGGATTGAAATTGGGGTCCTTGGTGTTCTCAGAGTTTGGTGTCTTTCTTGCCAACGTTTCATTCATTACCCAAACTAGGTAACGTTAACTGTGTGGATGTTAACTCAGAGAACACCAAGGATCCAGGGGTGGGATTCTACAGGTTCACACCTATTCTCTAAAACTGGTTGTTAACATTCTAATCAGTTCAGAGAACTGGTTGTTAGAAGAAATTACTGGCCTAATCCTGCAAGGAAGGCAGGAAGGAAACATTCTGGTGTTGCTTACAGAAACTGCCTCTCCCTTAACCCTTATTACATTCTTGGCAGGACTAGACTTCCTGTCTCAGGAAGGTTTTTGGAGTTTTTTCCCCCTCCTTTGCTGGCACTTTGCTTGTGTGGAGTGACCATTCAAAGTTACAATGGCACTGAAAAAAGTGACTTATGACCATTTTTCACACTTACGACTGTTGCAACATCCCCACAGTCATGAGAGGCCAGGCGAGGAGATGCATGCCTCGATGTGAGTGATATTGAGTTGGCCACGCCCAGCCAGTCATATGACCACTAAGCCATGCCTACCACCTAAGCCACGCCCACAGAACCGGTTCTTAAAAAATTTGCATCCCACCCCTGCAAGGACCCCTCACTGACGACATGTGAATGGGTCTGAACCTCGCCATCCCGATGGCAGAGGAGGGAAGAGGACACTGGAGGTTTCTCAGACTATTTCTCCAACAGGGCCCAAAGGAAGGCTTGGAATTGGAATCTGGTGTTTATCATGGTGTGAAAATGTTACGCTGCTCTTCTGTTCTGTAGTCCAGATGAGGAACATTCCTTTGAAGCTGCATTAAGTTGGTTACCTAACAGAAATAATGAAGTGAGGTTTCTTCCAATTAACACCCCCCCCCCCAGGGGTGAACTGCAGGGATTCGGAGGAGCCGCTAGCTAAGATTCTGTGCAGTTCAGAGAACCCCCAAATCCCACTCCTGGCTGGCCCCGCCCCACCCCTCCCAGGAGTCCCCACATGGCTTGTTTTGGATGCAGGTAAGTGCAGGGCATGCGTGGAGGCTCAGGGAGGGTGAAAAACGGGCCTCCTGGAAGTTCGGGAAGGCTGGAAATAGGCCCGTTTCTGGCTTCCAGAGAGCCTCCGGAGCCCCGGGAGGCTGTTTTCACCCTCCCAGAAGCTAGAGGAAAGCCTCCGGAACTGTGGGGCAGGAGCCAACTAGGCCACGCCCACCATGGCCACACCCACCCAGCAACCGGGCAGAGAACCCTTTGCTAAAAATTTTTGAAGGCCCCCTGCCGCCCCAAATAGCAGCTTTTGTGGACATTTTCATCAGGACAACAGCAAGGAAGGGAAAATAGGGTTTAAGTATTAAAAGAATACAGGAAATCCTCGACTTGTAACAATTCCTTTTGTGACCGTTCAAAGTTACGACGACACTGATAAAAGTGACTTATGACCATTTTTTCGGACTGACAACCATTGCAATTTGATCACGGTTACATGATTAAAATTCAGGCGCTTGGTAACTGGCTTTATGACGGTTGCAGTGTCCTGGGGTCATGGGATCCCTGTGTGCCACCTTCTGACAGGCAAGCCAGATTTATTTAACAACTGCGTTACCTACTTAACAACTGCAGGGATTCACTTAACAACTGTGGCAAGAAAGGTCCTCAAAATCAAATGGAGCAAAACTCACTTACCAGCTGTCTCCCTGTGCAACAAAAACTTTGGGCTCAATTGTGGTCATAAGTCGAGAACTGCCTGAATTAAGTAACAAGGCATACTTAACATCATATTTACTCTGCCCCTAAGTGGCAGAAAACAAAGCCTCCTGATCCTACAGCATTTCTTCAGTTCTTAGGAAAACAAACAAAAGAAACAGTGACTGGATATAAACCCAGAGCGAATGCCATCATATTACTTTCGACTGTGTTTATTTTTCTTCTTTAATTACAAATGCATATTCATTTACACCTTTCTATCTTGTTGTGTTCAGGGAAAAGCAAGGGTTCTCTCATTCAAGAGGGGAATATTTATAATTATGATTATAATTGCCACTATTCAGGGGTGGGATTCAAATTTTTTAAGAACCGGTTCTGTGGGCATGGCTTAGGTGGTGGGCATGGCTTAGTGGTCATATGACTGGCTGGGTGTGGCCAACTCAATATCACTCACATCGAGGCACGCATCTCCTCGCCTGGCATCTCATGACTGTGGGGATGCTGCAACAGTTGTAAGTGTGAAAAATGGTCATAAGTCACTATTTTCAGTGCCATTATAACTTTGAATGGTCACTCCACACATGCAAAGTACCAGCAAAGAGGGGGAAAAAAACTCCAGAGAAGTTCCAGAGACAGGAAGTCTAGTCCTGCCAAGAATGTAATAAGGGTTAACGGAGAGGCAGTTTCTGTAAGCAACACCAGAATGTTTCCTGCCTGCCTTCCTTACAGGATTAGGCCAGTAATTTCTTTTAACAACCTGTTCTCCAAACTGCTTAGAATGTTAACAACCGGTTCTAGCGAATAGACGCGAACCTGTAGAATCCCACCCCTGGCTCTATTGCATCACATTTAATTTTTCAAACATAAAGTACTATTAAACTACAAGATGTAACATCCGCTGATTATAACCATTACAAGTCCAGAAACCACGGAATGCATCCGTTATCCCAGCCAGCATAAAACATACCTGATTCCAAACATACAGTGAACATAATTAAATAACGCTCTTCTTAACATGGTGGTGTCCACGTCTTCATGGCTGGCCATGGTATTGTAGGTGAGGTTGTAGACCATCCGAAATTTCTCATCCAGGAGATGCCCAATATCAGAATAGAGTCTGTTCACAAGGGAGAATCCGTGGTTTTCCCAAGTGTAGTCCTTTAAAATAATAATAATTCCATCACTTTGTTTATCGTTCAGCAGTTCTTTTTCTACACCTAAACAGTTCTGGTAGAGGTAGTCCTTGACTTGCAACAGTTCACTTAGTTACAACGGCACTGGAAAAAAATGACTTATGACCATTTTTCACACTTATGACCTTTGTAGCAGCCCCGTGATCATGTGATCAAAATTCAGATGCTTGGCAAACGGTTCTTACTTATGACCATTGCTGCATCCTAAGGTCATGTCATCCCCTTTTGCGACTTTTTGACAAGCGAAATCAATGGGGTCACCAGATTCACTTAACAACCGTGATACTAACTTATCAGTTGCAGGGATTCACTTAACAGCTGTGGCCAAAAAGGCTGTAAAATGGGGGGGGGGGGGGACTCACTTAACAGATATCTCATTTAGCAACCGAAATGTTGGGCTCAATTGTCGTCAAGTCAAGGACTACCAGTATATGTTGGTTGCTCCCTGAAAATTGTTCTAATTTGTTTGGAGAAAGAGCTTAAGTGTCAACAGTAAGTGAATTCATTGCTGGGGGGGGGGGGGGGGGGGGGAGGGAAGGCAACTTCTCTGGCAAGCACCCTGCTGGCTGAAGATGGGGCGTGGGGAGGCCGTACGAGCACCCCGTGCCCCTGCAGCACTCTGCCAGCCAAAACAGGGCACGGGAGGGCCATGTGAGGCCTCCCTGCACCAGTGGTATGATTTAATTTTTTTTACTACCGGTTCTGTGCACATGGCTTGGTGGGGGTGGCAGGGGAAGGATACTGTAAAATCTCCAGTTAGTTCTCTGAACTACTCTAAATTTTCACTACCGGTTCTCCACAACAGGTCAGAACCTGCTGAATACCACCCATTTTGGCTGCCAGAGGCACTATGGGCCGATCCTTTCCTATTTCCAGGCCGGACTCATGGGCCAGATTTAAGCACCCCACGAGCCAGATCCGGCCTGCGGGCCTTCAGTTTGCCACCCCTGCCTTACATCGATTTATTCTAGAATCTTTTTGAGATATTTTTGCTCCAGCAATAATGCCTCTTTAAGAATCCATTAATCATGGACAAAGAACACGGTGCACGCCAAAAAGTCACAAGGACAATCCCAGGCATCTCCAGGTAAGGCTGGGAAGATTGTTAAGTCATAGAAAGCAGCAACCAGGCCATGGTTTCAATTCTGGCCTGGATAGAACAGCTTTCCTGTGATCAGAGATGTAACAGAAAAAGAGTCATTTTGAACAAAAGCCAAGGATGCTCACTCCAAAAAACTTAGGGCTGACAAGAGGCTGCCATCTTTGCTTCTTATTTTGGGTCTCCATCAGTAAGTTACACCTGTCACGTAAGAGTTACCTGGGCTCGAAATGTTGGAAGATGATCTTCCCCGCGTCTTGCAAAATCTTTGTAACCAAACCCAGGGTCTTCAACATAGCAGGAAACATCACAAATTAATTCTTCATCAAATGCTATTAAAGAAAAGGACAGGAGATAGTAAAATATATCTTTTTGTTCTTATCAGATTCATCTCAAAACGACTGTATGCTACCAAATGAGGCATAAGCCCAGGCTGGTTCCCCATTGGCTTCCCCTGACCTAATCTTTTTTCCTAATTTAGAAAGGGAACTGTTAGGGTCTGAGCTACATCTAACGCTACGAAGTTCAGTTGCAGGCAAAAACATAGTTGGTCTCTTCTCAGTTAGAGATGCTGTTTTGACACATGCTACAAAGTAAGACAATTTCAAACGAGACCTCAATAAATCAAAGAAATTGAAGTTCGAAATGGAACCGTACGTTCACGCTTAGCAAAAAAAGACAACCTGAAAGAAAATTTGCAGGCAATAGTGAGGGATTAATTTCTTAAGTTTTCGCGGGTACTTACATGTATGGTGTTCAACTTTGTCGGGTATTTTCCCACGTCATTGTAGTTGTGCTTTTAAAGTTGTAGCAACGTTTCGGCAGAATCTCATCTGCCATCATCAGGCTTCTGCTCCAAGACCAATAAACACAGACCAAGACCCCCAACCAATCAGGATGAAGAAAAAACCATTCTGGCACAGCAGTAGGCTAGCCCCAAATTTAAAACTGGAACAACTGTAAAAGTCTGACTCACAGACAAACACAATACAGAAGCCTGATGATGGCAGATGAGATTCTGCCGAAACGTTGCTACAACTTTAAAAGCACAACTATAATGATGTGGGAAAATACCCAAACCATATCTCTATCTCTCTATCTCTCTATCTCTCTGTCTGTCTATCTATCTATCTATCTATCTATCTATCTATCTATCTATCTATCTATCTATCT